TCGGCGGTTGGCTGTCAATTTTGCAGCTTGCGGTCGTAAACATGGGTATTCCATTCGGTAGAAAATATTCTGATATTCGGTATGTCCCAATGGATGACCAAGAGACAACGAAGACATCAACTGTCACGATTATTAATTGTACAATCATGTTTCTATACTTGAAAATTCGTGTATATGTTGTTGTTGTTGTTGTTGGTATTGTTATTGTTGTTATTTTAATTAAATACTTTTATAAAATAATATGTATATATATATGTGGATATATATGTATGTAGAGTGTAAACAAGATCATTACGTTTTGTGATTTTTTTTTTGTAGTTATTATATACGTACATATATAGTTTGTTTTTATTCGACGAGTCAGTCGTTGTCGGATCGTACAAGAGACAACATCGTATAGGTAAGTCTTTCATTTATAATATTTCGTTCTTTTTTTTTTTCTTTTCATTTCATTATTATCAATATAATTTCTGAATAATCGTTAATTGAATATCGATACAATCGTTATTTTTTAAATATGTGATTTTTAGCTAGGAATAATTCTAATTTATTTATTTTTTTTTTTATTCTTTTAAATATCATCGTTATAAAGTCTCGTAAAATTGTATATTATAATTAAGACGATTATTTACTACTCTCTTGAAATAACGTTATCCAATGTTAAAATTGATAAGTTTAAAAACGGTGCAGCACGTACTTTCAAAGCGGTCGTTCAACGAACTCGAACGAGTTAGCAGAATTATTAGAGCACCACTACCACATAGTTTTATCGCGATCCACCCGCGAGAAAGGTTAATATCGTGTAATATGCCGTCCTTTAAAATTAATAAAAGCCACGCGAACATTTTATTAGGTTGCTGGCCGGTAGCGAGGTGTGTGATAAAATTATGGTTACCAAACCGAGCTTTTTGTGGAGAACTTTCCGGTCATCGCCCAATAAGCCCGAAGACACAATTGATAAGGCAAGTGGAAAATTAGTTCCTCTATCTCTATCTCTCTCTCTCTCCCGTAATTTTAGAAGCGTTGTCACAAGAGCTCTCGGAAATGACTGCCTTCCGTGTTATCATTAATGGAATATCCAAAAACTGTGAACGTCGAACCAATATAAAATTGTTCTTGTTTTTCTTTTTTTTTTTTTTTCCGTTTTTTTTTTTTTCTGACACAATCACGAATATAAAATCCAAAATCAAAATACATTTCTGTATCACGTAACGTTAGACACGTTGTGACATTGTATTAGAAAAATGTTTGATATCATTGTAATATTAATTTATTTTTTAATAATATGATAAAAGAACACACACACACATATATATAACTCATAAAACAGACCAATTTGATATAGCGAACAAAAACATTTATAAAAATTTTAAACAATCATCGTTGTTGATCGAACACACATCGGTATTCTCTAAATCGAATCGACGAAAAAATAAATAAAGTAAAATAAAATAAAATAAAATGAAATGAAATAAAATATACAAAAAGAAAGAAACGTTCTCTACTTCCTGGCGTTTCTCCGTGGATGACTTATTTATCCTCGTATTAATCCATTTTTATTTTATTTGCGGTCGTAATTCCCCGGTCCGTTCTGGCCACTGCAAACATAGGAAGAGGAGGAGGAGGAGGAGGAGGAGGAGGAACCGAGTGAACCGGTGTGCTGATGTTGTCGGTAGTCAGTCGGAATTCTAGCGCGTATGCACGTGGGTTTACCCAGTACGCGCCTTTCCTTTCGGTCCATACACCAGGAAGAAGGATATGACTAACACGAGGAGAAAGATAGAAATAGGGGAAACAAATATGGTAATGCGGTTCACGGAAAAAAAGGAAAAAAAAAGAAAAAAAAAGAAGAAAAAAAAAAAAGGTTATTCAGAAACGTTCTCCTTCAAAACGTACGAGACAAGCGAGAACGGACGTGTCCTTTTTTTTCAGTCGAATCAATCAAAACGATTAAATGCATACATTGAATAACAAGAAAAAAAAAAAAAAAAAAAAAAAAAAAAAAAAAAAAGAATATGTCATTGTGTCCTATTTGAAACTGAATTGATTTGTTCATTTCCTTTCTTTCTTTTTTTGTCAAATCTTCGCATACGTTTCTCGTGAAAAAATTGTATGCAGTAATATCTTTTCTTTCGATACGTTTGCTTTAGGAATATTATATATACTTTTTTCAGAGATTTTTCTAAACGCGTCATATATATATAGTATATTGTATGATTTAATTTAGTTTGAAAATAAAATCCTATTCAATTTCGATGAACGAATTAATTTAATGAATATATTATATGGATTTTTTTTTTGTAAAAGTAATTCGATGATATCGTTTTATGATAGTATTAATTAATGAACGTTTCTTGTTACGAGGGTAAATAAGTCGACAGATGAATTAATATTCCTATTTAATAATTCATATATGTATACGTATTATTCGAAGTTATTACTTCAGTATAACAGATATGTAGAACCTATTCAGTCAATTCGGAGAAAGAAACGAATGTCGAGATATTACCGAAGCTATTATCCTAATCGATGTTCGTGATAGAGGCGATGAAGGTTTACGTGGAGCTAGCTATCCACCCATCGCGAAACCCATCAACGAGCCTGAACCGGTTCGTGAATGTTCACGTGGTACGATTAGGTCAGATGATCCGTACCGAAATATTCCCGCTTCCAATCGTTTCTCCACGGGCACGGGCATGGGCATGAGCATGGGTAGGGGTACGGGTACGGGGAAACCAGATGGGTCGGTTTGGTTTACGAAATCCTTGCCTAATGCACCTACCAACGGATTTCGAAGCTGCGGAACGTAAGGATAGGATAGTAGATTGATGCTAAAGGTATTAGTAGTATTGGTAATGATAGTAGTAGTGGTGGTGGTGGTGGTGATGGTGGTGGTGGTGGTGGTGGTGGTGGTTGGTCTCTACTAAATCGGAGATTCACGGACCATCTGTCGTTGTTAACCAATACCCGACCCTTGAAAAAGCGCGACCAAATCTTTTACAGGATTTATTTTAACGACGAGATGGTCAAGTCATATTTTCATAACGACAGATCACTCGCTTGTCCCGTTTTCATGGTACATTTAGAGACAAGTAAGTATTCGTCATGGTTAAATACGACATTATTTTTGGATGATTTTCATCGTATTGATCAGAATCAAACAATTCTACGAGATTTTATACTTTTTTTTATTAATGATATTAAAATTGTTGCGAGAATGATATATACATTGATCATTTTAGAAAATTCTCATATTGTTGATAAAGTTTTCCTTAGTTGGGAAAAAACGACAAATACGAAAGAAACATTTTATGCGTATGAGTGACGACGATGACTACGATGTTATGAAATTAAACGAAATTGAATTAATAACGGAAGCAAATTTTCCTTTAGCTAAGAGAATCGGTTAACATGCCGTTTAAACATCGACTGTATTTCCATAAATTCATCTACGAGAAGCTTTAGCACGAGAACATGATGAAATAAAGCCAAATTAGCATAAAACGAGATATTTGTGCATTTCTCTTTCGCTCATTCTTAATCTCTCTCTCTCTCTTCCTATTCTGTTCTCGTATACATATATCGATGTTTCTTTCGTTTGTTTTCTTCGTTTTACAATGAAAAAGTAAACAATTTTAATTGACTTTCCCAAAAATATATCATTCGAATTACAATGCAGATATTTAATAGAAACTTTTAATCAAATTGTCAAATAATAATACGCAAATTGTGATTAAAAGAAAATTAGAAAATAATGACAATTAAATACGTATTATTTATGTTAATCTAATCGTATAAACTATTAAGATATTTACAATAAAATAATGTATCTTTAAGTTGATTAAATGAACGCGACAGACAATACAAATCAATTTTAGTTTCTATCGTTGATCGTTTGAAGATTCACCTGGGTCTGCTGTTCCGCAATGGGTCTATTGTTTCGTATATGGCGTTTGAATATATTTATTCGAGATACTCGAGCAAAAACGTCGACGATGATCTGTTTCGTTCAGTGAATATCGATGACAGTCGGATAGTACGAATAATTCGAAACAACAGGAAGTCAACGAAAACGAAGACGACGAAGACGACGATGATGGTGAATAAAAGTAAAACGAATATACGAAAGGAATAAATGAGTAGAAGAGAGGTAGATGAGGGGAAACGATGTTCGAACGAAAACACGCGTTGAACCCGTCGAATATGATTTTCATCGTTGCTCGGTAGGATTTCCGCTGCTGTTACTGCAACTGCTAGAAGCGAACCAACCAACGAACGAACGAACGAACGAACGAACGTACGGACGTTTAAAAAAATCAGAGGGGGAATTAAAAAAAAGGAAAGAGAAAATAAAAGCTTTCCTTTATGGCATGAACTTTGATCCTGGTGGCATGCCGTTGACAGCTCGTCCAATGTTTGTTCGGACGTTTGTCCAGCAGACCTGGTATTTGGTTAATCAGCGAGTTAGTTGCCCGTCCTTCTACTTCTCTCTCTCTCTCTCTCTCTCTCTCTCTCGTAACGTTCTCTCAGTAGCACCCACTACCACCCTCCGATCCTCCCGTGAGTCCTCACGGCCGATCTCTCTCGTTGGACCGACCATGATCCGCTGTTTGGAATTTATCGAACGTGTTCGTGCGTTCACGCGTATGGATATCTCTTTTCCTAGCAGCTAGAGATCCCGTTCGGTAAAATTCCGTAGGATTTCGATTCGCCGATTCGATCTATCGGAAACATAGTTTATCACGAAAATGGCGTCAAGCTTTTAGTTAGAATTTAAATACGATTATATTTATTCATAGAGAGACTTAAACGAATATAATCAAAATATAACAAACAAATGTATTCTTTCATTTCACTTATAATCTCGATATAAATATATATTGTATATTAATACAATTTCAAAATTTTATATAACATTTATCGATATTTTTAGAGATAATCTTTTATCCCATTTAAAAATAACTGAAGCGAAAGAAAAATAGGAAGACACGAAAAAAAAATAAAATAAAAATAAAAAGAAGAAGAAGAAGATAAGAAATAAACGTAATACGAATAATAGGATCACGCAAGGGTTGACGCAAGGTTGTCCAGGTTCATGAAAACGAATCGCTTACTCGCAATGGGATCCTTCGATGTCGCTCTGAATTACAGAGAAAGGATTTACGCGACGATCGTGATTCGAGGAGGTATGCATGAACGATCTTGGGTAGTAGGAACCGAGAACCAAGATTCTTCTCTCTTTTCTCTTCCCTCTTTCTCTATCACTCTCTTTTCGGTCGCTCCAGCAAATCGTCTTAATTTTAACAAATTGTAAACAACACCCAAGCAACACTCCGTTTCAGTACTTTGGGGGATAACGTAATCCGCCGACGACGACGACGACGACGACGACGGAAGCAATCTCCTTCTTCCTTTTCTCTCTTTATCTCTCTTGCCTGCGTATCGTTTATATCCTACCTAATACGAAGTTAGTATGTGTTTGTCTGTGTGTCAAAGAGAGAGAGAGAGAGAGAGAAAGAGAGAAAGTAGAAGTGTAGCGTCGTTCTAACAACTCTCTTAGTCTCTCCGTACATTTTCTCTCACTCTCTCTCTCTCTCACACACACACTCGTCCTTCTATCTTTCTCCCTCATTCGGTAGAAGCACCGATGTGTGTGGAAAGTTTGTGAGTTTGCGTAGTTAGCGTTACTTGTGCATTAATTGAGGATTACAACAGCAACGAGATATGAGGCGGGACGTTAGTAGGTGGGCTCCACGATATCCAGGTGAAACGAACGGGGATTGGAGAGCGAAACATGGAGTGTGTGTGTGTGTGTCAGAAAGAGAGAAAGAGAGAGAGAGAGAGAGAACAGATAGAATGAGATGGTCGACAAGCACCAGTACAAGCTCAGACGGCGGGCTTCGAGTCTCAAGCACACGGTAACTTTCCTAATCACCGTAGGAAGCCTCGAGGTAGTCATCCCCTCAGCCATCATACGATCCAAGTATGATAGACACGAAAGCTCGATTAGAGACGCCGAAATCGCATGCAACCTTTTGCGATATATGTTCCAGATGGAAATACCAATGAACGAAAGTAGACGCATTTAAAATTCTTAGATAGTTCGGATTATTCAAGTCGGTCCTGATAATAGTCTTTCTTTGTCATAGTTGTCCTGTCTTCGTATTCGTTGTCCGATTCTACACGAGAGAGAGAGAGAGGATCTTACTGAAGAGGGAAACCGAACTACAAAGATCTCGCCGAACGATTTTCAAAGGAGATATGATCGTCTCGAATTGCTTCGAGTACAAGAAGAACACTCGAGGTCAACCGTCAAAAACATTCGACCTGTAGACGGGGATCCTTCTACTTGTATTGTCCTCTCTTACGTTAAAGAACATTCTTCCTTAAAGCACTCGCGGTCCTATTTTATAGATGATTAGTGGGCTTTTGTTATGTTATTATGGACTAAATTCTATGTTCTATCTCTGTTCGAGTGAGAAATTCATTCGGTATGATAGATTATATCATATAACACGAAACGAAAGAAAATTCTTTATTAATTTTGGCCATTTTATTTTCAATACTTTTATTTTTTTTGAATATTAAATTACGTTTAATTATGAGTGTAGGAGGATCGTGTTTTAAATGATTAAATAATTTTTCTTTTTTTTTTTTTTTTTGTATATAATTATCTTGGCATCGTATAAAATAACGTCGATATTATTGAAATCTATTTTATTTATTTTTAAATCTAATTAAGATTTTTATTTTATTCATATTTTATAAATGAGAATAAAAAAAGATTCTGTTATATTTATATTAGGTTTAATTTAAAATATTTCATAAGCTTAATATAACCGTGTTAGCGATAAAATCTTCGTTATTTAATCCGGAATTATGATCGCTAATAGATCGCGAGACGAAATTAACCTAAGTAATTCCGTTTTGGGTCGATTAGGAAAACGGCTGCTGACTCTTACGTTTTATATACGTTATATACCGTCCTCGAAGTTTTTCTTAACGTTGGCAAGATAAATGATCATAAAATGATCTTTTATACTTGTCTGAATATTCGTAAGTATACTCTTCCTTGAATGAAGAAGATAGAACCGATTCGACGAACGTAATTTCTTTAAAAGTCCAATGACGATACGATTGTGCGTTTGACACAATGAAAAGTTTCGTGAATTCATTCGAAATATTTACATATTTCCTAGTAATATTTTTAACAAAATCGCACAAAAATCATGATTGTTAAAAAATACATATTCTCTAAAATGAATAAACCCAAATTGATGTATTATATATCAAATACAATATCTATTATTTTCATCAAATTACGAATATCTACGTGATAACAAATTTATTCATTTGTTATTTTAAATATTACATTAAAGTATAATACAAAAATATAATATTAATGATCGATTAATAAAACAAAAGTAGAAATCAAAAGAAACTTGTATTTGTGTGTAAGAAACTAATCTATCATCTTTAAGCTCAAACAAAAATCGTTCTAGTTCGTGATAAATTTGACATAGCAGCGGCATGGAAGGAGATGGATAGATAGCATGAAAGAAGTAAAAAAGAAAAGAAAAAAAATGAGAAAGATAGGCGAAGGGGAAGAAGCGGTCTCCGTGGAACTGAATTTAGAACGACGAAAGAGCTACTCTTGTCTCAAGGAAAATGAAATTCTGGCCTCCGTTATCGGGTTCACCACGAAAAAGGATTTTAAGTGCAGCAAAGTGAACGTACTAGGACGGAAGGCATTATCCGGGTGACAATACACCCTATGAAATAGTAAATACGAAAGCAAGGCTACCTCCTGTTCTTTATTTTTCACTCTTTCTCTTTCACTTATTTCCTTTTTTTTCATTCTCCTTTCTTTTCTTTTTTTTTTATTAACCACCTTTCTCTTATTCTTTCGTTCTTTGAGAGAAATTTCAATATTATCCGTTGAACGAGACTACTACTACTACTACTACTAATAGAAAGAATACCGCATAAAACGACGTAGCTGAGGGTAATAGAAGCATACGAGGTAATAAAGAAAACGCTTTGTATAACAAGAAGTGTAGTAAGGTACAACTAGTAAGAAAAAAAGAAAGAAAGGAAGAGAAAAGGAGAGAGAGAGAGAGAGAGAGAGATAAAGATATGAATATGACGCTACTTAAGAATACGCGTATCATCGCATCCGAGCTTAGAAAAAGGGTGATTCGCCTTATCGAGAAACTATCAAGTTTGGTTAAACTCCTCGTAGTTTTATTTTGTCCCCATTTCTATACTGGCAAAACAAATGAATTTAGATCGACAAATATTCGATCCTTAAAGTGAACTAAATTTATTCCTCGAACGCGCGTAATCATCATCGTAATTTTCTTTAAACAAAATAATATAACGATAACGAATAAATTTATTATACGCGTTTTATAATAAATATTGATCGTTTCAAAATATTCTTATTGTTTCTAATAACATTATATGTAACTATAATTTATTCTAATTGAATACTTCAAATTATCTTACACACTTGTTTCATATGATGCTGAATATTAAACATAGATAATATCATGATAATGATAGAACAAAAACATATAAGAATATTAATAAAATTGTATCAACAAGTGTAAGAAAACTTTTTGCTCGGGAATATGTGGCATAGGTACAAAAGTAGTTTTACATAAAAGTAAAAGTAAAAGCAATGTAAACGAGGGCTTAGATATTTCGTTCGTGAATCGTACATTATCGAAGTGACGCGAATTAACAAGCTAGCAAGCAAGCAAGCAAGCAAGCAAGTAGGCAAGCAAGCAAGCAAGCAAGCGAGCAAGTGTGCTCGAGCTTTATCCATGAAATAACAATCGATGGAAACGGAGGAAGGCCTCCACCCTCTCCCGCCCCGCCTGTGAAAATCGTTCGATATAAACACGCTTGAAACGTTCTCTCTCTCTCTCTCTCACATACACACATTCTCATTCTCTCTGTCTATTCGCAGGTAGTAGAGGATGCGAGCGAATTTGTGCGCGCGTGCACACGTCCTCCGTCATTCCCAATACTCCCCTATCCCCATCCCCCTTCACCCTAACCCTCAACCTCACCCCTCCCAAGCCCGTTTTCACCGGCAACCAACTAAACCCCGTTTCCCCCTCTTCTCCTCGGTCATCCCTTTCTCGATACAATGTAGTCGGAGCGAGATTGACCGGGGGTTCAAACCGGGTGGAGGAGAATTGCTGGCAGGGTCGAACCACCGTGCTCCGGCATATTCATGAGCGCTGAGTGCGCGGGGTTTGAACCAATATACCGCCTCTGTTCCGCTCCTATGTATGCACCCGCGCATGCCTCTGTGTGTACAAACACGTATGAGAGATATGTACCACCAACTCTCTGTCTCCCTCTCTCTCTCTCTCTTTATCTATCTCTCTGTCTCTCTATCTCTATCTCTATCTCTTTCTCATTCACATTCCATCTCTTTGTCCCGTTTTGCGAGAATGTGCGAAAATACACGGAATATGAAGGTAGGTTGTGTGGTAGGTAGCAAGGCAAGCCAGTTTCGTTCAGTAAGTAAGCTAAGTTTGTTCCGTTTATAATACCGGTTGGGTTTTATTTATACATGTATATTTTTTTTCTTTTTAATATTACTGGATGTCTATTTTATTTTTTTTTGTTAGAAAATTTAATATGCAAATAAATGTTTTATATATATATATCTCTCTCTCTTTATTTTTGGTTTGTTTTGTTTTCTTCCATGTAATATTAATAGATTTGAAATTTATTAAATGTAATATTAATATATTCTATCGTTCTCTCTCTCTCTCTCTCTCTCTCTCTCTCGGACGAATATATTTTGAGATTGGTTATTTTTTTTTTTCAAAATTTAATAAGAAATAAATAATTGAATGTAAACTTTTTGGGGAAAAACAAATGTTCACTTATTGTTAGATTTGATAAGTAAAGGAAATATATACTTTTCTATATATCTATAATATCCAATGGGATAATAACGCGTTTCTTCTTCTTTGTGTGTGTACACAAAGTACCTCGTTGAAATTGTTGGCAATATTTAACTTCCTCTGCGTATTAACAACGTGTCCAAAGTGTATAGATGCATATATATGTTGTATATAGATATATGTATTTGTATATCTATAAAAAAAGGGAGATAGATAGAAAGAGAGCGAGAGAGAGAGAGAGAGAGAGAGAGAGAGAAAGAGAGATAGAGAATGAAAGAGAAAGAGAAAGAGATTTGATGTTGGATTCTCGCTGGAGGCGCTTGTTTGCAGTGTCCGTCGGCGAAAGGGTAGCCGAATAAAAGCCGAATGGGGGATAGTTCGATGTAGGAATATCCATTGAAATACTTTAATTAACCCTCACGATACCTTTCCTTGTCTCTTTCTCTCTCTTTCTCTCTCTTTCTCTCTCTCTCTTTCTGTTCTTTGGACTCGCTTGCAGTTTGCTTAAAATGCCTCGTCGTGCCTGCTCAAAGGAGGAGATACGTGAAGAGGGAGTTAGAAGGGTGAGAACTAAAAGGAGGAAGAGGAAGAGGAAGAGGAAGAGGGTGTGAGAAGGTATCACTGCCGTCGTACGAATTGATCGAGTTCAAAGGATGTGTAAATCAGTCGCGTTCGTGATCGTATGCATTTACGTAGGAGGGGCTTCTTTGTTGTTAATCTGAGGTACCGGTTACGGGGGGGGGGGGTTAGTTCCAAATAAAATCGAGTCGCAGATAAATATGTACCCTTATTTAACTTTTCTCGACATTATTATCAGATTATTATTATAAAGTAAATCATGAATTTTCGTTAAGGAGTTTTCAATGTTTCATATCTTTTTACCACGAAGAGTAATTATAAGAAGTTACAAATCTCACGAACATTTTATATAGTTTACTTTTTATTAAAATATAATTATTGAGAATATTATTTAGGTTTGATGATTAAAGAAATATTGAGAGAAAACATATTTTTAATATTAATATTATTTAAAATGCATTGTTTGCGTAATCTTAAACGCTAATATAGTGTAGGTTGGATAGCATAGTAAAAGTAGAAGTCGGTAACGCATGGAAATTCGTCGAAATCGTTTCAACTGACGGGGGAACATTGTGATAATTGCACGATCGTGACGATTTAATAATACGAGCACTCGTATCTCCGGATTTCAGTGAAGCCGATAGATTTTATAGTTTGCACACGAGAGGGGCAGCATTACCGTCAATATTTAACGTCATCGCAGCTTCATTGGCATTAACTAATGTGTGACGACGTTAATCTATTTTAGCGTACCGCAGACCGGAGCAATCATAAACCATTTTGCATACAAACCGTTCGCATTAGCGGGCCATATTCGAAATCGTTTTTAATTTACGACCGTACGATCAACGATTAAAGACGAAAAGTCAATGAAAATGTCAGTTACTCAAACACTAATACAACAATATTATTCATCAAACCCCTCTGATATGCTTTATTGATTACCTAAAAACATATTATTCTTCTTTGTTTTTTCTTTTATATTTTATCTTTTGTATTTTATCCTCTTACAATAAGCCAACGAAAAATGACACACTTATTATAGATGATAATTATTTTTCGTATAGACTATGAATTTTACGTCTTTTTTTTTTTTTTTTTTAGATATTTATCGTTCCCGAAAGTTAAATTGGCATCGTTAAGAAAAGAGAATTTATTATAACGGGTGATCAATGATAAAATCGAGTACGAGGAAGTTTGTGTTAGAAAATTCGATTACGTAAGAAAGAACGGGTGTAACGAGAAAGAGAGTGACATAGATGGAAACAAAACGCGAAACAGAAAAAGCAAAGAGAAAGATAGATAGATAGATAGATAAAGAGAGTAACAAGTAACATTTATTTGAACGAAGTGAAAAAGAATGAGATAGAAATAATAGACGAGTGAATGGATACTCTCGAATAAGGGGTGGAGAGTAGTAGTATCTCAGTAGTAGAAAGAAACAAACCGGAAGTTAACAAGGGGGTTGGTGGGTGGGGGTTAAGGAAGACGTATAATTTTCTTTCGTACACCTACTTCGTCAAAGGACCTATCGATCTAAGTTCGAACAAAGGAGAGCTACTTTAATTATCGACTGTCTCTCACCCCGGCACACCCTCCGGACTATTCGGTGGTGTCCTTTGTACGAACCTGAGCCATCGTTGGGATCGTGCAACAAGGATGGAAGAGATAATGCTACTACTACTACTACTACTACTACTACCACGAAGAGAAACGAGAGAGAAAGAGATAAACAGGAGAGCGTAGGAAGGTAGGTTGGTGAAACAAAGATACAAAAGAAGCGGGACGGAGAAAAACGCGAAATGTGAGATAAAGAATAAAAGAGATAAAAAGAGAGAGAGAGAGAGAGAGAAAGAGAGAGATAGAGAAACTATAAAGGGCACGAAGAAAGGGAAGTCCACCCCAATAACGTACGCAGACAGTCCGTGAAACAATATGGAGGAGACTGCTAGCTTCGGATGCGTTGCTAATAAGTAAATACGAATTAGCATTCCGAGTCCTTCACTGATATAAATCAAACGAATTAATTACGAACTATGCTGCCCGAGGGTTGCACACGTGTGAAAGCATGAAAGAAGAAAAGATAGAGAGAGAGAGAGAGAGAGAGAGAGGAAAAAAAAATAATAAAGGACGGGACTATTTTTACTTCAGAGAAAAGAAAGTAAAACGACGTCGTTCGTTCGTTCGATGGCTTTGCATATTGCACAACGTAAATACTAATAAATCCATGTCGTTGGTGAACACGTGTGTAAGTGACGTATACATAACACATAT